CTAGAAAAAGAGAGGTGTAAACTTAACAATAACATTATAACACTTTATACTGCCTTGGTAAGGCCACATTTGGAATACCTCATCCACTTTTGGTCACCATGATGTAAAAAAATATATTGAGACTCTAGAAAGAGTGAAGAGAAAAGCAACAAAGTTGCTTGGGGGACTGGAGGCTAAAACATATAAAGAATGGTTGCTGGAACTGGATATGTCTAGTTTGAAGAAAAGAAGGACTAGCAGGGACATAATAGCAGTCTTCCATGCCTGTCTTGGCTTCTTCCAAACTATGGAAAAGACTCCCTTAGGAGTTGTGCTTGATCCTCACTGCCTCACCCTTTAAAAAAAAAACTCTGTGAACGATCACCTGGCTTTTAATAGTTAAAGTCATTTTGAAGTCCACCTTACATATTATTATTTGTTTTGTATTTTGGAACATTGTTAACTGAGTTGAGTGCTCATGTAGGGAACAATAAATCAAATAAAAATACTTATTAAAGATGTATTGCAAATAATTTTATGTCAAGACCCATAAAATTTCCAAAACCTTAATGTGGCAAGATTTACTTTACCATTATCAAATTACATATATTGTTTCCACTGCATGGGGAATATATTTTGTAAACATGATTATCTAACTTTCTTGAGATCAACTTTAATAAATGTCTGGAATATAGCATTATTGTATATTGGGTGGAAAACTTGCTCCTTAGATAGTCCCACCTCAGGACTGGACTTGCATTCTTCTCATAAATATCAGGTAAATGCCTTTCATTTAAAATAAATAAAAAATAAATAAACACATAAATAAATAAATTGAATAGCTAAAATGCATGAGTCGATTCTTAATTGACATGTCTTTATTTTGCTAATAATGGTTATTCCTTCTGTACTACTCTCAGAACAGATGGTGCTTCCAGACTAGACTTTTCTTATTCCATCACCATTCCTTTGTGGAATTTTTTTTTACAGGCTGTCTAGATGTCACTGCCTTGCATCCTTTTTCCCATTGTTTACCTTTTCAACAAAAGCAAAAGTATAAAGAGGGAAGGAGGGAAAAGTTGTACAGGGCATTTGGATTGGATCTATTAGTAAAAACATTTTCTCATGCTAAGTGGGGGTGGAAAATCTATGGTACAACTGAATCACAGGGTATACTTGAAAAATCAATATAAGCTGTCTTTTTCAAATCAAAAGTCTTTCCTTATTATTATGGTTTGTTGTACGGTCAACCAGATGTTTAGACTGGGTCTGGTATTTTTATCCACCTGTTTAGTCCTTTCCAAGGACTTTGGATTAGCAAATGATGATGCTTGATGGCATCATTGCAAGCTATAAGCGGTTCTAACTAATCCTGTCTTTTTCAATTGACCAATGGTAATTTCATCAATGCCGTTGGTATTCAAGTTTGTTGTCAGTTGTTTTGGGATTACCTATTACTACTGGTTCAAACTTTGCTTAATAGGGGACATGGGTGCAATTCCAAAACAACTGAAGCATCACTTCAACATGAAATCATAGCTACCAATTCTTTAGCTGATGTTGCCTTCACACACATCAAGTTCTTGTCATAATACACCAGCATTGTATATGTATGGATCTCTAGAGGGACCACTGTGGCTGGTTTATGCCATCAACATTGATGGCATAAATAAATCAACATTGATTTTCAGATCTTGATACTTTGTGATCTTCGTGTTCTTTGTCTTCTATTCTACTATCCCCCAGATAACATCAATTATCCACAATTTCTTCTGTTCAACCCCAGTTAAATCTGGTATGTTATGTGCCAAGATTTTATTTGTGTTTGGAAATTATTAATAACGATTTGCATAATGTTGGAATCAGAACAGCCTATTTTGTACACTATAATGAAATTTTCAATTAGATGTGAAATAAATCAAAAGTTGCTGCCTGTACAATTTCCTGCCATTTGTAGTTATCCTGTCCACATTCTGCATTATCACCCACTGCTAAGGAGAGAACAAGACTTACATTCATGGGGAAATGAGATCACATCAATTATTTCCTCAGGCCATTTTGCTGGAAGAGGATTTAAAAAGGATAGTGGGTCTTACTGTTAAAGAAAAGAATACCTTATTTGAAGGTGTATCCCAGCTCAGGGGGGTCAAACTCAATTTCATTGAGGGACGAATCAGGGTTGTGTTTTACCTCAGGAGCCATGGTGGGCGTGGCCAGCTTGACATCACTTGTGTTGGGGACACCTGTGGTGGCCCAAGTGCTCTGTCAGCAAAAATGGGCTCCAGGGGTACGTTTTCAGCTGCAATGGTTTCCTGCAACCCTCTGCCAGCAAAAAAGGAGCTTGGGAGGGCTGTGTTTTTGCTGGTAGAGGTACAGTGGGCCAGTCCTTTCCGGGTTGGCACCACAGGCCAGATCTAAGAATCCTGTGGGCCGAATCAAATTCAAGGCTGGGTTTGACACCTGTGTTTTAGATGAAATGGGTTCATTTCTGTCAAGAAGGTGAGATCTGGGGCCTTAAGCTGCCCGTCAGTAGTACCATCTGGATAACAGATTGAACAGGCACACAGGCTACCCAAACATTGTCTTTCCAAAATGACAATATGCATGATTGTATTTCTATTTATAAGACAGTAATTACTAAATTGGCACACATGCACACTTACAGAAGCCTGCTCTATACCATTTTGTTTTCTTTTGTCCTCATTATTGGGTTTTTCCTGTTTGCCTTTGGGTGATACTTAAGAGGAACTTTAGGATATTTGATGCCTGTATCTATGTCACCCATGCTCATCACCAAAGCATGGAAAATTCAGCTTGCTTAATAGCTTACAAATCAGATGGATCATGGCCAGCTGATTTTTTTCAAACTGTGAGACTCAGGGCCGTGGATTTGCCCATATTATACTAGCAAAATACTGTCTTTGAGGAATCGCTGTGACTATTTATATTCCACGTTTGCTTACCCAGAAACAAGATATTCCTTTTACTGCTCTCAAAAGACACCTGTCAAAGAGACCTGTCAAAGAGATTAGCATCTTGAGAGTCACTGAAAAACAAAAAAGCCTTACTGTTTTATCAAAAGTTTAATAAAGCTTGGCTTGGCTTTGTCAGGGAGAAAAAGAGAGACTTTTTATACCTATATTCTTTGTCCAAAAGGCAAGAATCAATCAAGAAATGATCTAAAAATTGAATGAATGATCATCAATATATGTACTGTAAGCCTTTGGATTGTGCCTTTGGATTTCTTCTGAAGTTCACCAGAGACAATAAGGGGATAAAATTCAAGGATCAAGTGGATATATTAGAATTAGAATTCTTTTATTGGCCAAGTTTGATTGGACACACAAGGAATTTTTCTTGGTGCAATATATGAATTTATAACATTGTGAAATCTGTACTGGCCAATTTTTGTACGGAAATCTGTAGGAAAAATATTCTGTCCCTCCAGAATTCCAAGGAGGCAATTAATTAATGGAAAACAATCTGGAACAATAGAAGTCAATGTCTTCTGTCCATATTTCTATATCTGTAGGTAACAAATCAAGTGAAACCAAGCTTGATTCAAATAGAATCCGACTGAACCAATAACAGATAACTGACTGCTTCAGCTTGTTATTTAATTGTTCTGAGTACTTTTTTTCACTTTTTTAAAAACTCTAAACCAGAGGTCTCCAAACTTGGCAACTTTAAGACTTGTGGACTTCAACTTCCAGAATTCTTCAGGCTGGCTGGGGAATTATGGGAGTTGAAGTCCACAAGTCTCAAAGTTGCCAAGTTTGGAGATCCCTGCTCTAAACAATGTTCTCCTCCTTTTCCTTCTCTGCTCTATACAAAATGTTTGCCCTGTAGGCAAACTAGGTATGAAATATAGTGCCCAGGAAAAGCAACCCTCATAAAAGCAACCTTCATAAATCACATTCATCCATAGCCAAACATGTTCTCATTGCATAAATCCTCTCAGAGGGCTTAAGGTAGTGGCAGTAACTTGGAAAGATCTAGAATCTATTTAACTACAAAAGAGAAGTTTGAACAATATATATCAGGAAGTCTGTATTATTTTTGGAAATGGACAGAGCCAATTTCTATTTGTCCAGCATAGAAAAGCAGAGTTTTTGTAATGAGTTGGAATCTTCAGCCAACAAAAAGTTCCTTAAAAGTTCTGAGTCCACCAAGAACCAGCCAACACAATGTTATAGGTTGGTTCTTGGTGGACTCAGAACTTTTAGGGATTTTTTTTTTGGGGGGGGGGCAAGGGCTAGAAAACAGGAAAGACATCTCTAGGTAACAAAACTCAATGCCCCCCCCCAAAAGGAAGGAAAATGCCACCAGGTAACACAGGTCTTTCAGGGTGGGTTGAGGGGGAGGGGTGGGATATGGAAAGAGACCCATAGACTAGCCCCAGTGATTGTGCCAGCACTTCCCAAGTGCAGCAAGGCAGACTGAATGCAACATCACAATCCCTTCCATCTCTCTCCCTTATTCTGTAACACGGTGTTCAGTCACACCTGTCACATGTTGAATAAAGTGGAGCAAAGGGACAGTAACTGTTGCAAACACTCTCTGAACCTCACCCCAAAACCCACTGACTTCCAGTCTTGCCCTCCCGCCCACCTGCTAATTACCCACATGAGTCACCCCAGTGGAAGCACCTGCTGCCTTTTAGAAAAAACAGCTGCCTCTTGGGTTGGATGCAGCTGACTCCCTGTGAAATGCAGGCGATGAGGGAACTTGCTAATTATAAAGGGTGAGACCGAAGGTTTCGTCCTGAGAGCTACCCACCCATCTCATGTGCTGCCATCAATCTAGGAGCAGAGAAAGCTCTACTCCTCCCAAGGGCGATACAGATAAATCCTTGGGGAATCTGGTTACACACAATAGACCCCTTGCCACACTTACCTAAGGCTGCTATGCTGTATCTCAGCCCCTCTGATAGGAAAAAAGAACCACCTGCTGCAGCTCCTCTCTGTTCCACCTCTGTGGCATCCCATGAAGTGCTTCCAATACAAATTGCAGCCTCTTACCTTTTGAGCATGATGCTCCTGGCTCTTCTGCATGGTAGAGCCTGGTTGCTATGCTCTCCCTGCCTACGTGTGTACTCTTCCTCTTCCACTTGTTCAAGAGATGTCTTCTTTCTCTCTGCACAATGGGAAAGGAAGAAAGCAGCATCCAAAACAATAAGCAGATCAATAAATATCCTCCTGGTTGTCTTTTCTGTCTGTTTCCAGATTGCTGCTTCCTGACTGAGTGTAACTGGCACAGTGAGAAGAGATGTTAACACTCTCTAGAATAAAGCAAAATGAGAGAGAGAGAGAGAGTGAAAGAGGGAAGGACTAGGAACAACAGAAGCTGGCTAGTGTGCAGGTTTGCTTAGCATTAAATGAATATTGCAGATTGTCAAAAAGAAAGACAAAGGGCAAAATATTCATACACTTAAATCTATAGAAGAGAATATCTGTTGCTCGGGATATGTGGGATTCTTGTTGCTCGATGAGCTTGGTTATTTTCTTGCAGATGTTTCATTACCAAACTAGGTAATATCATCAGTGTTAGTGTCAGATCCATGTATCTGTCATTTCTTTAGTGGAAGAAGAAAAAGTGGGGGGAGGCTGTAACCTGAATATATTTAACCTTATATCGAATTTATATAACCCACACATGATACAATGGAGGGAGAAAAGCCAGATGGCCAGAACCTATCAGCTCCAAGAGGCACAGGCAGGAGATGAGAAGATCATAAAAATTCCACAGTGAGATGTATCCGGGAAATCTCTGGAAAAAGTTCATTCTAAAAAAGGTGGGGGGGAATTGGGTATGTCCTGGGAAACTGTGAGAAAGATCGTTCCTACAGAAGGGGAATTAACATACCGGCTCTTGTTTCTCTAAATACACATCGAGATAAGGGGAGGGGTTCTAAACTCCCTTATCTATCCCTGTATGCTTGAGGGACCTCAGGCGCTGCTTTGAACTCCTACATGAATTGTCTCGTCTCAATAAATGATTCCTTTTGATACATTTGATTCTCAGAAGTTCATTCTTGCTAATTGAATGGGATAAAGTTCTGTAGCCAGTTAGTAGGGAGTGGGGACTAAAGCAGGCTTTTAACACTCAAGGCCCACCGGCCGGATTCGGATCTGTCACTCTGGAAACAGCAAAGGACTCAGCTGTGGTGCCTTTCCCAGTAAAAACAGAGCTCGGGAGGGCTCAGACAGCTCTCTGCTGGCAGAGAGTTTCAGGAGGTTGTTGTGGCTGAAAACGGAGCTCAGGAGCTTGTTTTCGCTGGCAGAGCACTCAGGCCACCACAAGTACCCCCGACACCAGTGATGTCAAGCTGGCCATGCCCAACCCAGCCCACCGAGGTCAAACACAACCCTGATGCAACCCTCAATGAAATCGAGTTTGACATCCCTATACTAGAGGCTTGCCTTGTCAGTGGTTCATTGATTGGGTTGTTGTTCACCTTTAGCTTATTTGTCTGAGTTGGCAGTTCCTTGATTGGGGTATTGTTTGCTTCTTGATTGTTGGTCTAATGTTAACCTTGGTGTTAGACTCTGCATAGCTGGGTGTTGATTGCTGGTGAGGAGGTGTTTTGATCTTTCTGTTTATTTTCTCTCTTTTTTTGGCTTTTGATTGTCTTTTTGGAATGATATGTAGATGCTGTTTATTTCTGACAAATCAGCCATCAACAGGCACATAGAGATAAACAATATGCACACACAAAAGGGGTTGTAGAATTGCAAGAATGTATGAGCTCTTAAAGAATGTATGACCTTTTTGGTAGACCAAGTGCTTGAGATATTTATCAAGGTAAGCATCTATCTTCCCACTATCATTACAAACTGGCAGCACGAGAAACAGCTGATCACAATGAAAAGCCATTACAACATTTACCAGAGTTTGTGATTGTTTGTTTGGAGTAGATTGCCTGCAAACTCCTATCAAATATTTGGGGATTGCAATAGTAGAAAGGGACATTCTGAATACTGCCAAAATCATTCATTGAAGCTCATGAGAGTTATTGGGCTATATCAACTCCATCTATTCGGCACAAACACTACACTTCCTCTCATCATCATGGATACTGCGATTATTGGCTCATTCAGCCTCGTTCCATCTGCATGAGTAGGAGTGACATAAAAAATGAGAAGACAGAGGCTGGATGAATGCAAAAACAAAAACCAAAAACCCAAAGACCTCTTAATAGTAAGAGCAATTTAATGAGAAATTTAAAGTAATAACATCTGGATCATCACTTGAACATCAATTGTACTGAAAAAAAATCATAACTAATCAATTGCAAACAGCAGCTTTACTTGAAACAACTTACATCCTGAGACAATATCTTTAACACCATGAAACAACAATATCTGATTGTCCAGGTCTTTGGGAAGGATTTGATGGGTAGACAGAAATGCCAAATCCAGTCTAAGATACATTAGACTGAATCAATTAGTGTGTGACTAACAATAATAGGAGAACTAATGACCCAGCAATTTAATGGCCTCTCTTTGAATTGCAGTGGCTGGACCATCATCTGTCATGCTGCTTTAATCAGGATTCCTCCAATGAATACGTTGGATTTGGTACCCTAAGTGGTCATTTCCAAATCTACAATTCTAGGACAGTTGCTGTTAGTGGAATAGGTTTAATTCATCCGAGCAACAATTTTCCACTCAAGAACCCGACAATATCATATTGCTTCACAATATGGCCCTAGTTACATGGAAAGTTCATTTTCTGTTCCCCTTTCTCTGTTATGAGCATTTTAAACTCTGCTATCCCAGATTATTCTATCCCCTTTTTAAAACACTTAATTTACTGATTTCATAAAAAATATTAATAAGTCTGTTCAAGATCCATGCTATCTAAAGAAATGAGAGGGGAAATGCACAGCAGCAGACCTGAAATGCAAATTTATACATTAAGTTTGATTGAGCAATGTTGGGTATAAAACTAGAAATATTCCCAGAAATAATAATCCACTTGAAGCAGGACCTTACTACAAGAACAGAGAACACATGTTTTTCTTAGGTCCTCCTAGTTTTCTTTTCAGTTTACATCTCTTCAAAAGTTCCTGTCAACTCGTAGGGCAGTTCCATTTTAAGCTCTGCAGTTTTTCATTCTTCTCTCTTCCCCTAAGATTGACAGGAGTGCAGAGTTTACAGTTAAACTGTAGCATTTTCTTGTTCTTCTTCCTCAGTACTTGATATCCTTGCTCCCTCTACTGGCAAAAGTAGATAGGGTAAAATTCAGAAGGAATGTAATAATAAAATAAGAGTAGAAAACCAGTGACGTCGTTGTTGCTGGTTAATAAATGACAAGAAACAAATGACATCCATTTCCAGATGTACAAAACATAGTTGATCCAAGGCAAATTAGCATGTCTCAACTAAGCTTTTGGAAGCTCAGATGTATGGGAAGATGCTTTCAAAGCAAAAGCATCTGATCCCATTTCAGGTCTGAGAGGAGATGGAGACTGAGGACTAGTTTTATGGCTGTTTCTCATCACTGTGCACACAGTCTTTGCGGGAACCAAAAGGACCAGTCTGTCACTTCATGGACTTTTAACCCGCTAGGTAAACAAGCAAAGCCTGATAGAGTTTCGGTTGGAAGTTCATCTTCTCAGTATATGGCAGGAGCCGCTTTGAATTCACATTTTCTTTGTTAGTTTTCTGAGAACTCCTCTTTTATATGCATTTAATATTTTGTTAGTTGTCAACCAGCACCCAGAATTTGATGGTCCTCCAGGCAAAATGGCCTCCGGTGCCTGGAATTCCATACTCGGTATTTCTCAATCTTAGCAGCTCTAAGATGTATGGACTCAAGCTCCCAGAATTCCCCTGCCACCAAGGCTGGGGAATTCTGGGAGCTGAAGTCCACACATCTTAGAGCTGCTAAAGTTGAGAAACACTGCCATAGATTATGGGGTTGGCTGGGAATTCTGACTGATATCTAATACATTTGGAAAGTGCCACCATTTATGGAACGGTGCATGGGATTTTTCCTCATATTTGCTAGTTTGTGCTGGCTTTTATCTCTGTTTCACCACTGTCCTTACCCTGAGAATTATTTGAATGATGCATGTAGTTTTCGCATCTTCTTTATCGTGCACACACAAACCCACAATTTGATAGAAGGTTTCTATAAAAATGTCACAATGAAGTAGAAAATAATATATCATCTAAGCAAAAGGAAGAAAAACAAAGAAAAATGATAAAGTAGCGCTTGGTAACTGGAGCCTTGGAAGCTAATCTGGACACAATCGTGGTTTCTAATCTCAGAAAATTAAGCATGTACTGAGAGTGGAGAGTAGGTATAGGCAGACAGATTTCCTGGATCCTTTTCCTTGTATAAGACAGGAGTTTGGCAGAATTGGTAAGGCTGAGCCTTCAACTCTCAGATCAAAATATAATTTCCGCTGTTAAATACAAGTTCTGATTGGCCTCGTACAACCTTTGAAAGAATCCTTTTCAGAAGCAGATATGGGCTGTTGTTGATATATCAATTCACCAGGAAACATCATGTGTCCATGAGTCTAAGAAGGTGAAAGAGAAAGGCCCATAGGCACATTGCTAAATATACATAACCTCTTTCTGTTTCCTTACTAGCAGCTTCATCTGCAGATGATTTTTTTTCTTTTGGAAAAATGTTTTTTGTGCACTCCACGGGTGATGTGCTCACAACAACCTCGGGATCAGTTTGATTGAAGCAGAAAGACTAACCAAAGATTACCCAGAAATTTGAGCCACTCTCCAGAGAATTGAATGGGAATGCAACTGGACATTCATGCTTGTGTAGTGTCTGCTGGGCCCTTATTTCACAATCTGTGTATCTCTTGTCACTGAAAAAGTTGTCCATCCACACACTCTATTATATTATTAGCTCTCCATACAGTATAGAAATACAAATCACCAAGATTGGCCGTGATAGTATTTTCCCCCCTGTGGCCATCTTTAGAGGGGAATTCCCAAGCTCAGATATTTTTCTTCTTTTTGTTTCTGGTGCTCCTATCTATTTTCCTATCTGCTCCTAAAATGCTGTAGGGCAAGAAGTAACC